TTCCAGTACTTTTCATAAATTAGGTAGTTTCAGGTCTCGCCATTTGTTTTGTTTTGTGGAGGGGAGTGTTTTCTGTTTTGTTTTATGTTTGGGTTTTTTTTTTTTTTTTTTTTTTTTTTGAGACAGGGTCTCACTATGTAGCCGGAACTACCCTCAAACACAGAGATCTACCTGCCTCTGCCTCCTGAGTGCTGAGATTAAAAGTATGCCCACACCTGGCTGCATTAGGTAAGTCATCTATTCCCTCACTGTCAATCGATGTTCATTTTTTCCTTTTTTTTTAGACAGGGTCTCTTTGTTGTCCCAGATGGCCTGGAACTCGGGGCATATCCTCCTGCCTCTGCCTTCTGAGTGCTGGGATTAAAGGTGTGCATCACTGTTCCCAGCCCACTCTGTCCTTAGTTGGAGAGTTTCATCAACTTATATTCAAGTAATTATTACATGTAAGGCCTATTATGCAATTTCTTTTCTAGATTCCTTGAACTTTGTTTTCCTTGTCTTACAATTTCCCTTAGTAGTTAAGTGAACCGTTTGAGCAGTGTACTCTGATTAATTGCCTACTTTGGGTTTGCCTATTATAGATACTGGTTTTGTAAGTACAGTAAGGCTTCTTGGAAACACTTTTGGTTATAACAAATTGATGTAAAATGACAGCAACTTAACAATACCAAGAGTAAGAACAGGGACCATTGAGATGGAACTGGAGATCATTATGTTATGAAAAATAAATGAGTCACAGAAAGAAAAGTACATGATGTCACTCGCCTGTTCAATGTAAAGAAGTTGATCTCATAAAAGTTTACAGCAGAATGGTGCTTACAGAGGCTAGTGACAGGAAGAGCAAACTGTAGAAAGGTTGAGCAATGGATACTAAGATACAGCTAGAGAGCAGGAAGCAGCTATGGAGTGACTACTGCAGAGTATGGTAACTACAAATAACATTATGTCCTGCACATTTCAAGAAGCTAGAAGAAAGGATTTTTTTTTTTTTTTTTATCTTTTTGAGACAGGGTTTCCCTGTAGCCCCAGCTGTCCTGGAACTCACTATGTAGACCAGGCTGGCTTTGAACTCACAGAGATCCACCTGCCTCTGCATCGCGAGTGCTGGGATTAAAGGCGTGCGCCACCACACCCAGCCTTGAAGAAAGGATTTTTAAAGTTTTCCACAAAGAAATAATAAGGTTATAGATAAATACGCTTACCATGACTCAAACATTATTCACGTATACATGTGCTAACATTATGTGGTACCTCATTAATATGTGTAACTTTTATGTTTTGTGAATGTTAAAAAAACAGTTTTTTGTTTTTTGGTTTTTTTTTGGTCTTTTTGAGACAGGGTCTCCCTGTAGCTCCAGCTGTCCTGGAACTCACTATGTAGACTAGGCTGGCCTTGAACTCACAGAGATCCTCCTACCTCTGCCTCCCAAGTGCTGGGATTAAAGGTATGTGCCACCACTCCTGGCTAAGATTTTTTAATTATAAAAACTTTTAGAGCTGTAAAGACGGCTCTATGGATAAAGGTACCTGCCATCCAAGAATGAGTTCAGAATCCCAGCACTCATATGTCAGGTGGGTGTAGTGGCTGCCTATAATCCCAGTGCTCAGAAGGCAGAGAGACAAGGGCTATCTGGAAAAAGCTGGCTAACTAGACTAGCTGGGCAACCTTTGGGTTCAACTGAGAGACCCTACCTCAATGAAGAAGATAGAGCAATGGAGGAAGACTCCCAGTGTCAGCCTCGGCCCTCCACATGCATGCATTTACTCAGAAATGCACATGACTATATGCATGAGAAAGAAAAACTGTTTTAAGTCGGGCCTGGTGGTGCATGCCTATAGTCCCGGCACTTGGGAGGCAGAGGCAGGTGGATCTGTGAGTCCAAGGCCAGCCTGGTCTACATAGCGAGTTCTAGGCCACCTGGGACTACAAGGAAACCCTGTCTCAAAAAGACCAAAAGAAATATATATACATACATACTATATATGTATATACTATATATGTATGTATATAGTTTTAGTTCCTCTACTAGTTGGGCATGATCCCACACCTGTATCCTAGCTAAGAGTTCAAGGAAGGCAAGGAAAAAATCTATCCCATAAACACTACTTCATAGGACTCTTTCCTATGCTTAACTCTAAGACTATAGTTATCTACTTTAAATACTATTATTGAAATACCTAACACTTAAATATCTGAGGCTCAATTCTATGAGATGCCTAAAGTAAATTTCATCAAATAACTGCAACCATTAAACCGGCACTGCATTTCTACAAATACTAGTATCTTAGAAGTATGTGCCCTGAAATTCCTCAAGCTCCATTTCAGATAATTTTTAGCAAGTTAAATGGTTGGCAACTTCTGAGGTCTTTCAGAATGAATACTACAAGGAACCCATTTGTTTCCCTCTGGCAGTGCAAGGTATATTCTTTAAAGCACTCTGACAACAGACTGCCCAGAGTTGAAATATTCCTGCTACTTATTTATTAGCTCTGTGATTGCGGACAGTTGACAAACTCTTCTTTCACTGTTTTCTTAGCTGTAAGAAGGGCTCCATAAAAAGAAAATGCCTCATTAAGTTGGTGTGATGAGAAACAGAGGTAAAACTGTTAAGAGTACCAAACATAGGATCAATAAGTTTAAACTCCCTGGTACCTCACAGTACTTGAACAGTTCGAAAATTTTACCTGTAATCAAAGGGGTTTTGCTGGTGGTGGTGTTTTATTTTTATGTATATGAGTGTTTTACTTGTATGTGTGGTAAGTTCACTCATATCATGCAATGCCCAGGGCATCAGATCCCCTGGAAGCAGAGTTATTAGCTGCCATGTGGTGCTGGCAACAGAACCCAGGTCCTCTCGGGGAGCAGCCAGTGCTCATAACCCTGAATCATCTCTCTAGTCACCAAAGTTTGTATCATAAAATTATTCTGAATTGCTCAAATTTTGTATCAATTTACTACTATTTTAATATGATTTGAAGACTTTTATCCCCTGGGTATTTCACTAGACATAGCTTAAAGAAGGCTGTCTGAGAGGGCTAGAGAGACGGCTCAGCAGTTAGGCGCACGTACTGCTCTTCCAGAGGACCAGGGTTCAACTCCAGGCATCCCACAACAGCCTACAACTGCAGCACTTTCCATTCACATGCTCAAATCTACAGACAGACACACATATATACATAATTTAAAAATAACAAAAAATAAAAAGAAGGCAATCTGAACCATTACACTAGCTACTGTCTCCTTAGCTAAGCCCTGGAAACCTATTTAACAAAAAACTCCGGTTAATAACTACCAAAGGCACAGATCATGAGTGTGTGTAGCTCCTCTCAAATCCCAATTACACTACTCTTGGTTATAGACATCTAAGGATCAGGAATTTTGTGGCCCTGTAATTCTAGCTAACCTATCAACAGCAGTATTCATTATGCTCAAAAATGCCAGCAACACTTGTCAACAACTGTTGTTTAATTCTCCAACTTAAAATGTACACACACACAAAAAGTACGGGGAAATACTGCAAAGGGAAGTAAAATGATGCAAAACTAAATTTGTTACCAAAGATTGAGAGAAAATCAAGCTAAACATTTTACAAAACTAACGACTACTTGCTAAGGTTTTTTTCCCCCCAGAAGGAAATAAGGACCAGTATCTGTGCCAGAAACTCCACATACATTACTTCATTTGACTGTAACAAGCATAAGAAATAGACAATGGGAGCTAATCTTGGTAATCATGTGACAATATTAAGCGATACGAGGAGCTAGTGAAATGGCTCAGCAATTAAGAGCATTGGCTGCTCTTGCAGAGGTTTGATTCCCAGCACTCACACACATGCAGGCAATACACTCATACCCACAAAAATTTTAAAAAAAAAAAAAAAGAGTGGGGGGGATACCTACGGAAAATGGGCATAGTAGCCCATCTTTATACCTTTAATCCCAGTACAGAAGCAGTTGGATCTCTGTGAGTTTCAAACCAGCCTGGTCTACATAATCAGTTACAAGCCAGCTATATACTGAGAACCTGTCTTTAATTTTAAAAAGGGGACAGGGCTGGAAAGATGGCTCAGCAGTTAAGAGCACTGGCTGCTGCTCTTGCAGAGGACTGAGGTTTGATTCTCCCCTTTAGAATTAAAGGAACATGGGCTATAACTGTTATCCCCTTCTCCCCTTCCCTCTCCTTTTTTTAAAATATACTTTATTATTTTTATTTTATGAGTGTATTGTCTGCATGTAGGTAAGTGTACCCATGTTGTGCAATGCCCGAGGAGGACAAAAGAGGCCATCAGATCCCCTGGAACTGGAGTTACAGACAGTTGTTAGCTGCCATATGGGTGCTGGGATTCGAACCGGGGTCTTCTGCAAGATCAGCCAGTGTTCTTACCCGCTGAGCCATCTCTCCAGCCACCTTCCCTCTCCTTTTAAACGCACACACACCCCTTGCTTCCTGGCTGCCATGCCATGAGCTGTTCTTAGTCACATATTCTTGGCTGTAACAAATTGAAATCCACAAAACCATATGCCCAAATAAATCCTTTCTTTCTTAAGTTGTTTGTGATAGGTGTGTTGTCATAGCAATAAGGCTAACTAACATATGACTTAGGGGCCTTCTTATTCCAGTTTCTAAAGAAACTATATCTATAAATTTAGGCAATGCAAAGGCAGGATTCATAGGGATACCAGCATGCTATTTCCTTGAAGTTAAGCAAAAGAAATTTTTTATTGAGGAAATGTAGTGGTGTACATTCCAGGCTGATCTTGAACTCACAATCCTTATGTTTCAGTGTCCCAAGTACACCACTATGTCCAACTGAGAAGATATTTTTCTGAGAACTTATTAAGCTACTACTTACAAAAATAGTAGAAAAATGGACCTCTTCGTTATTTAAAAAAAAAAAAAAATCAAGTCTCTCCATCTATATGAACCTAAAATTCACACTGGGTATGCACATTAACAGGCCATACAGGACCTTTCAGAAGAATCAAAAAAAATAGCTTACCTTTGGTGCACGCACACAGCCTGTCTGTGCCTGAGCAATAAATGACAGAAACAAATGAGTCCTGTTCCTCAGTGCCCTCCTTTTTGGGAGGTTCCACTTTGGCCAAAATTTCAAAGTTTGAAAGGTCTAGTATTTTTACATATCCTCCCTGAGTGGTTATTACCAGGTGTCCAAGAGTAGAAATATCAGGCTTTTTTTCTCTTTCAATCCCATTCTTTGAGGTCAACTGCATTTCCTCAGCAGGTTCTTCACAGTCATCCTCTCGATTATCCAATATATCTGGTGGAAGCAAAATGAGCGAGGTAATTGTGTCCTGGGTATCTTTGATATGTTGGATTTTTACTGGCTCCTCTTCTAAAGTCACTATTCGAGTGGTATAATTCATTTTATAAAGAACTAAATAGCCACCACTAGCATTCCTCTGCTCTGGCTGAATGATCAAAGGAGTCTGTGCATCTGCTGGTGATTCATGTTGGATTACACTAATATTTGCACCATTTACTGCAGCAATATTTGATTCCAGCTCACCTTTACGTCTATTACATAGTGCAGAGTTTAATTTATTTAAATTATTCAAGGCCTCAACTTGATTTATTGCACTCAAGGATTCAACAGGGCATGTCCGTAGTCCTACCAACAAATGAATTCCATCAGCACAAGGAGTTATGGAGTCTATACAAAGATTCTCTTCCTCTGCAAACTTTGGCAGCCTCAAGCACTGAACCAAAGTCCCAGGCTTGGGAAACACAGAGTTCCACTTCTCAGAATCAGGAGAGGTAAGGCTGGCAGCTGCATCTGCGAATTGCTGAATGTAAGTCACAGGAGGATCCTGCAACAACAACTGCTCCTGATTATCCAGCTCCATCTCAATAATCTGCGGAACCGTAAAACCATCATCATGCAAACTTTTACTCATAATATTGTTCATTTGTGAAAAGATTTTTCCTGCTTTCTCATCAGATTCTTTGATGCTATAAAGAAGTAAAACAGGTAAAGTCCTCCTTACCAAAGGAGAATTCAATTCTGAATTTGTGCAGGATTCATTGTCAGTTGACCCTTGTTCTGATATACTTTCGCCCTGAGTTCTGCTTAAACCATCCAGTGACCTGTGAGAATTACTACTAATGGGTGAGGTAGCAGGAGACTTATATGTTAATAAACCTCCAGCTAATAAACATGGAAAGGGAATGTTGTGTTGTTCCTGGTGCTTTTCCTTTATCTTTTCACTCTTAGAGTTTGTTAAGCAAGGATTTGCCCCAAGTTCTTCAAGATCCTTAACAGTATCTTCAAGCACATTTGCCACAATTTCCCATTGAAGTTTTTCTGGCTGTTGGAGAATGCTGACTGCTGTTATATCAAGGCTTACTTCCATGGATTCCTTCTGTGATGTATGCCCTTTGAAAAGGAACAATATATTAGAAAAATAGTCATGGTAATAACATATATCTAAATCTGTACTTTAATGGTTTGGGGTTTTTTTCCCCCCTAACTCATCCAGTCTATCCATTAAAGTAAATACAAGAATTTAAAGTATTTTAATGTTAGCAAGATGGCTCAGCGGTGTAAAGGTGTTTGCCACCAAGCCCTAACTGAGTAAAATCCCCAAGACCACAGGGTGGAAATTGAGAACTGACTCCTGCAAGTTGTCGTCTGACCTGACCTCCACTCATGTATGGCATGAGTACATCCATACATTAGCATGCATACAAATTGTTAAAAAAAAAAAAAAAAAAAAAGGGGGGGATAGATAAATGGCTCAGCAGTTAAAACCACGTACTGCTCTTGCAGATGTCCCAGGTTTGATTTCCAGCACCTACATGGCAGCTTGCAATCATTTGTAATTCCAGTTCCAGGGGATCCAAAGCCCTTTTCTGTCATTCCTGGGCACTAAACATGCATATGCTGCACATACATACATGTAGACAAAACATACATGCAGGCAAAACAATCACACACACACACAAAATAAAAATAAATGAATAGGCTGGGCATAGTGGTGCACGCCTTTAGTCCCAGCACTTGGGAGGCAGAGGCAGGTGGATCTTTGTGAGTTCAAGGCCAGACTGATCTACATAGTGAGTTCAGGTCAGCTGGGACTACAGGGAGACCCTGTCTCAAAAAGACAAAAAAATGAATGAATGAATGGATGAATGAATGATTTAAAATTTTGATGTATTTAAAAATAAAGTGTTTTCAAAAAAATCTTCAAACTTTAGATAACGCTTGTGTTGAATAGTTAACTTGACACACCTGGGTTGAGAGCCTCAATTGGTGAATTGCTTCCACTGGACAGGCCTGTGGCCTTGTCTGTGATGCATTTTCTTAATTGTTGAGTGATGCGGGAGGGCCCAGCCCACTTGTGGGTAGTGCCACCTCTGGACAGGTTGTTCTGTATTGTATAAGAAAGCAGGCTGAGCCAAAAGCAGGGGAGCAAGCCAGTAAGCAATGTTCCTCCATGGCCTGTGCTCCAGCTCCTGTTTCCAGGTCCCTACTCTGAGTTCCTACCTTGGGCTCCCTGATGAACTACGACCCAGGAGATGTAAGCCAAATAAAATCTTTCCTTCCCAATTTGGTATTGGTCAGAGTGTTTTGTCACAGCAGTTGAAGGCAAAGTAGAACAACCCTTGACAGGAAAAAAATTTAAGGCATTAAAGGGATTCAAAATAATTTTCAATTTGGAATACAATTTCTTGAGAATTAAAGCAAAACTGCTTTTCAAAGCACAGAAAGGTAAAAAGAGTTAAAAAATTATGGGGCTGGAGAAAGGGTTCAGCAGTTAAGAACACTGACTGTTCTTGCAGAAGACCCGGGTTCAAATCCCACACCCACATGGCAGCTAACAACTGTCCGTAACTCCAGTCCCAGGGGATTCAGACAGCTTCTTCTGACCTCCGCGGGCACTGCACGACACAGGTGCACTTACCTACATGCAGGTAATACAAG